GAAAGGCCTTTTTTTTTTTTCTTACAATGGGGATGGAACCCAGGACCTCGCCCATGACAGGAAGCTCCCCATCATAAGCCACATCCCTGCCCCCCCCCACTTTTATTAGAACAGCCAAAGGGCTCTCAAGGCAGCTTTGCTGCTCAAGAACTTTTGGCGGCGCCAGCTGGAGGCTCCGTGGACGATGGTGGCCTGGGCCTGGCCAGCAGGGGCGGGAGTAGCCACGGCCCAGTGACTGGGCTTCCCCCTCTCCCACACGAGCTGCCAGGGTCTGGGCTACAGGGGTGAACCTGGGCCTGGGCCACCTGGCATCCCCCAGCGTCCTCGGGGTGACACCCTGCCCTGCGGGCCTCCCAGGGCTGGACTGGCACTCAGAGGCACTGAGACTCTTAGGAACTGACCATCCCTCAGGGCTGCCACCCGTAGAGCAGGAGGGAGCCGGGCAGGCGGGCGGGCAGTGCTGCTGGAGCTCCCAGGGCCCCGCGGCTCAGCAAGGGACACGGCCAGGGCACAGCTGGCTTGTGGCTGGGCCAGGTGTGGACCCCAGTCCTGGGGCTCACATGTGGCTTCATGGGGGGCCCGGATCAGGGAGTCTGAGGTCCACACGCTCATGCCCGTCTCAGCTTCCTCACCTGGAGGGAAAAGGACAGGCGGTCCCCAGGACCCCAGGCCGCGGGTCAGCTGGGACAGGCTGGACGCGGCCTGGTCCACCTCAGGACGTCCTCAGCCTTTGAGGAGCCACCTGCCAGCCCCTGCCCCAGGTTGCTTCCCCTCGGGTTCCCTGTGTCCACCCCGAGGCCGAAAGCCCCGGGCCACTGGCTGCCCTTCGCAGACCCTGCTGTGCCCACAGGCCCAGCTTCACGGCCTGTGCTTCCAGGCGGCCCAGACCGGCACCTGTCCTGGTGGAGTCCCCTTCTCGGCACCAGAGGCCCCGCGAGCTGTGGCACTGCTGACACCCGCCTGCTCGGGAGTCGCGGAGCCCGGCTGCTGGAAGGAGCTGGGACTGCCTCGGGAGCCGGCCTTCCAGGCTGTGGGCTGGGGGACGCCTGGCCAGTCCTCAGAGCCGGGAAGTTCGGCATCAAGCCCAACATCTGCCCTGGCTCCAGGCTGGAGACTGATGCTGCCCCAGTGAGCCCAACAGGGCACTTCCTGTGCCCCACCCAGAGCCACAGGCCTCAGCCCTAGGGCCCTTCTTGGAGCCCAGTAGGTCAAAGCTGAGTATTTCTTGGGGTGTGGGGTGGCCTGCAGGGGCCCACACGGCCCTCCTGCCCACAGCTGGCCCCAGGGCATCCTGCCAAGCTCAGCTTAGGAACCAGGACCTCGAATTCTGCACCCAAAAGAACTGAAGCACAGAGAGGTCATGCTGCTGGCCCAAGCCTCACAGCACAGAAGGGATCTATGGAAATCAGCAGCCTGTGTCACCACGGCCAGCTCCCCCCACCACGCACTCACACGTGGGCACATGACACAGGTCTGTGCGCACAGGTCTGAAGCCAGGGCCAGACCTGAGGCAGCCAGCCAGACGCGCCCCACACCTGCAGCTGCAGCCCCTTCCGCAGGCCGCCAGGGACGTGTCAAAGGCTGTCCACATCCCCCAGCACCCGAGACACAGGTGACCTGCCAGCTGGGTGGGGGCCCCTGGAAAATCCTCTGGGCTCAGTTCCCAGCTTGGTGTGAGCAGCCAGCCCCAGGCCACAGGAGAGTGGCCACGACTGCCCACTGTCAGCCAGGGCAAAGCTGGGCCAGGTGAGGACAGAGGCTGGCGGCTCCTGCTGTGTCCTGCAGAGCTCCTCAGACAGGGCAGGGCCATCCTGCGTGGGGGGCGGACAGGGAGGCCCAGGCTGAGCCCCACGCCCCTTGGCTCTGGAGAGCAGGCCCCACGGCCTCCACCTGCTAAGCCACGCAGCCCTGTGCGGTCAACTCTCGAGTGCCCCAGCAGAGCAACGTCCGACTCTGCAGTGGTCAGTGGCCACATCAGGGCAGAGCTGATCCCGCAGGAAGCTTCCAGGGCAGGTCCCCGATAAAAGGAGCGGCCTCGCAGCACCCACCATGCAGTTCCTGTCGCGTCCTCACGACTAAACACTCAGGGTCACTCCAGGTGAGCTGGGCTGCAGGAAATAACCACACAAGAGACAGATACCTTTTTCTTTGGGTCCTGTGACCTTAGGGGTCTGGAAAGAGAGAGAGAGAGAGAGAGAGAGAGAGAGAGAGAGAGAGAGAGAGAGAGAGGAGCACGTGCTGACCCTTTTATTGAGGAGAAGCCATTCAAACGAGGCCAGGGGTCAGGTGTCAGGGGCTGGCTCTAGCCTGGTGGTGTCTGCTGTCAGCAGGTTGTCTGACACCTGGGTAGGCCACACCCAAGGGCAGAGCAAGAGAAGGGGACAGGGCAAAGGGGTAGGATCACAAAGGAACAGGAGAGTGTAGCTCAACTCCATGGTGACTCGCCTACACCTGAAGACAGGCCCTCAACTTCCTGAGCTGGGACGACGCCCAAGTCACCAGGAAATGTAGTGATAGGTAGAGCCTCTCGCTTCAGGATGGAAGGCGGGGTCACTCAGAGTGGCTCCCCACAGTTGCCTGTGCCCCACATGGATGGTGGCCCTGGGAAGCAGGTGGAAGCACACGCTGCCCATGAGCCATCTGGGAGAAGCCACCTGGTGGCAGGAGGCTGGGAGTGACAGAGGCTGTGTCCCCACTGTGGGCACCAGTGGGGAAGGAGCAGGAGTCAATGACCACATGACCCACATGGCGCCCTTGCCACTGTCCACACTCTCTTACAGCCTGGCCTTGGGGTCCCCTTGCTGTGGCCCGGAGGTGGAAGGGATCACTCTCAGAGGGTGATCTCAGAGGGACGAGAGGGCCACGTCCACCCAGCGGGACAGTCAGCAGAATTTGAAAACAACGTATCACTCTGGGCCCGGTAGGGGAGTGCGACGGGGGAGAGCCAGAGCATGCCATTAAGGGACAGCGACTGTGGGGCCAGCCATGGGCTGGAGAGGGCCCAACTGGCCCCACAGCACCAGCGCCCACTGCCAGCCTCGCCTCGGGCTCGGGCAGGTGAGGTGCAGCACCTCTCGCCTTCCTGGGCCAGGGGAACGGCCATAGGCCGTCGCTGGCTTCATGGTGTGTGACTTCCTACTAGAGCAGCCAGCGGGAGTGTGGGGGGTGGCCATCCCCTCACCCCATCTCCTCGGAGAGCGAGGCTGGCCCACAAAGACGTGTGCGTTGGATTATTAAGAGTGGCCCGGGAGCTGCAGCCCGAGGACTTGAGGGTGGGTGGCTGGTGCCCACGATGGGCAGCTAATGATGGCCACTCTCCTCCAAAGGGCAGCATCCGCCCCGCTCATCGGGCCACATCCTGTCGCGCTGGCCTGCATTGTGTGGCCAGCACGGCCCCCTCCTTGACCACCAGTGCTCCCAAAGGAATCCCAGGGTCAGGAATGCGCGGCAATCAGGCAGCGTGGGGAGGGACGCCTGGGGGCCTATAAAGCTGGCCTCCCAGACAGGGACCCCGAGAAGCTCCGCCAAGCCCAGTGCCAGGCCCAGGGACGCCCCTCCCGGGAGTAGCCGGCGGCATGGTGAGTACAGCCCTGTCCCGGCAGGAGCTCTGGGAAGGCCCTCAGCAGGAGCTGGGCATGGGCGGGCAGCAGTGGGCACCCGAACCAGGGCACGGGAAAGGCCCAGCCCTGGGGAGACCTGACCTGGTCCTGCCACAGCCACTCTGCCAGGGCCAGGCCCTTCTTCCACAGTGCTCTTCCTGCCACTTCCTGGGCGTTGGGAATGGGGGGCCTCCCTGTGCCCCGTGGTGAGGCTCCCCAGTTTCTCCCAGGTTCTCAAAGGGGTCTGGACTCCCCCAAAGGGGAGAGTGGCCACATTCTGCTCCACGTCAAGATGTGCCCTTTCTCGAGGCCTGGAGGGCACCCCAGGTATACCTCTCCCCAGGAGGGGCTGCTCCCGGGTCCACATTCTTTCCACCAGGAGCATGGGCAGTGTGTGCTTGTCCCCTGCAGAAAACTGCCCACGCCACCAGGCCCTGATGGGAGAGGGAGAGCCAGCCTGACTGGTACAGCCAGCTCCTGTGGGGGGCTTCCCTGGCAGCCGGAGCCTGCCCCAGCCCCAGGGGGAGGGAGCCCAGGAGAACTGCTTTGGGCAGAGAGCAAGTTTGCTCTGACGATTCTTTGAAGCTTTCTGGCTGAGCTCACTGTGAAATGTTTTCAAGGAGCCGTTTCTGGAAAGAGCCCTGGGGAGTTTCTGGAAGGAGCTCTTCTCCAAAGCAGGTGCTCTCTCTTCCAGCTTCAGAGCCAGTACTCAGAGGACGAGCCAGCTCTGCTCACCCTTGGTCATTACCAAAAAGTCTCCTCTGGGCGAAGGGAGCGGCTTAGTGTCAAGGCAGGCGCATTCCGGGAGGTCTCTTTGTTTTAGACAGTCACACATGGAGGACAGCAGCAAGTCAGGGTGGGCCACACTTGGGTCCAGCACAGTTAGAAGCCGTGGGACCCTGGACGCTCATGTTGCCCATCTGAGCTGATGGGGATGACACCCCTGCTCTCAGAGGGGCCTGGCACCCCAAGAAACCATCCCAGCCACGAGAACCGGGCGTTCAGAGACTCCACTTTCTGGCCCGCACCTGGGCATGATCTTTCTTCCTTTCTGGTGATTTCCTGCCTGAAAAAGTGGGAATGACACTGGTGACAGTTTACCATGAAGCAGCAGCGCGGTCCTGCAGGGAAAGCTTGTAGCTCAGGCCCCCCATGTCCACTGTGTGTGTGGAGGATCGGTCAGGTCACCTGCTCCCCCCCAGTTGAGTGTCTGAGTTAGGGCAGGGCCACCAATTCCCTGCTCTCAGGAGCCACCTGTTCCTGCGCTAGAGACAGCAGCAGAGGATCCCGGTAACCAGCTTACCAGACCCACTCACTGTCAGGTGGAAACAGAGAAACTGACACTTCTCACTTCCTACCCCGTGGCTCTGAGATGATAGGGCCCGAGAGTCAATAATTATAATGAAAGGAAATGAATCCAAATTCCCGCAGCCCTCCGGGGGCTGCCTGGGCACCGCTCTGAGCCGTTCAGAGCCTGAGTGTGACAGTGCTAAGCTGCTGCGGCGGTTGTGTGGCAGGGACCGCGGGAGAGTGAGAACCAGCCTAATTGGTACAGTCAACTCCTGAGCCTGCTAAGAAAAGAAAGGCCTGGTCCCCAAGGCTGCTTGGAAGCTGGGCTCAGGTGGGCCACCCAGCTGGGTAATGACCACCCTTGGGTGGTCACCCAGGCCTTGGGAGTCCGTTGATGGACTGTTGAGTGTGGCCACAGCACGGCCGTGACCCTCTCCCTCTCTCCTCTGGTCAGGTGAGGAGCCATCTCTCCACGCCCTTCCTCCTCCTCCTGCCACTGGGAGCCTGTCTCCCTCTGCTGGACACGAGGGAGCCCACAGACACCGGGGGTGCCATCGCAGCCGGTATGAGCTGGGCCCACCTGGCCCAGGGGTCCAGACCCCACTTTGTGTGGGGCCCCGCCAGGTGGCCAAGAGCAGCGCACGCACAGGCCCCACTTGCCAGGGCTGAGGGGCTGCCGGCCTCCGGCGGGGAGCAGGCTGGCCTCCGCCTCGCCAGGCAGGACGGCGGTGAGGCCGCGGGCGAGAAGGCCGGTGGCCCGTTAGGGAGCCTGGCCGAGGAGCTCAGTGGCTACAGCAGGAAGAAAGGCGGCTTCAGCTTCCGCTTTGGCCGGCGTCGTCGGAGGGCCAGGCGTTCTCGAGGGGCGGCGCCCCACGTCTCCCCTGCCCTCCTCCTTCAGCCTCCGAGACCCAGACTCTGAGAAGACGGGGCGTTCCCGTCGGGTGCTGAGCAGGGGACGGGCGAGGTGTGCGCTTGCTTCTGACTTCTAACTTTGCTGAAGAGAAGAAAAGATAAAGGCAAGGAGGAGCCGCTGCGCCCTGGCGGGGAGCCACCCGCCTGCCCAGCCCCGGGCGGCTCTCGGCGGGGGTGGGCGGGAGCGGCGGCTGTGGGGCCGGGACGTGAGTGGGTGAGCTGCTGTGCCGCGAGCCGGGAGGGGGACCGTCACTGCGGGGTAATCGGGTTCTCACAGTCTCCAGAGGGACGCCGGCAGCTGGCATTCGAGTGCATCGGCCAGCGAGCACATTCCCTGGGTACAGAGGAGAGACGGGGAGACCCGACACAGCAAGGCGACAATCTCCTTCTCCCCATTAACATGAGATCCCTGAGGAAGAGGACCTGTCTGGCTGAGCACCTTCAGACGGCGGTACCCCGCCCCCCGCCTGGCCACCCCTCTGCGGCTGTCCCTCCTGGAGGGCGGTGTTTGCAAGCCCGGAACCCCGTGGGAGATGAACTAGGAAGGAACACGTTTTTGCTGTAGCAGGGTTGCATTTCGAATGCTCAAAATATGGATGTGTTGTGTGTATCTTTTGAAATAAAAGTTGTGACAACTGTGAAGTCATAATGAAATGCCGGCTTCTCCCCAAGTCCTCAGGGCCTCAGAAACTTCCTTTTCCTAAGCTCCGAGCGCCTCTGCTTTGGGGAGATGGAAATCTGCCGCCCGCGCTGGCACACCTCTCCTCGCATCCCCTTAATTGGCAGCTGGTCAAAGGTACAGGGAGCCCCGGTGCCGGCTCCCTCCTCCTCCGCTTGCTGCTTGGTCCCCGCTTTCCTCAGAACAGGGAGCATTAGGGAAATGACACCCCCACCCCCGGGAAGGCTGGCACTCAGCCTGGAGTGGCTGCAGGCCCGTGGCCAGGAAGAGCATCCCCTTCAAAGGCTGCCGAGCGTCCCTGCGTCCCGTGTCAGAGGCAGCAGTCAGAAGCTGCTCACTCCCGGCTGCGGCTGCTGAACTGAGGACGCCTATTGATGTTGCTATGGCAACAGCTCCCTCCCCCCTCAGCACTGCGGCTCACCCCGTTCACAACTGAATAATTTTCCATTGAGCTGTCACAATTAATTGGTGGATTTTTATTAGCCTTTTAGAACCACCCTGGGCCGGCCCAGCTGGCACCTTGGAGCATGCCAGTGTTTCCCTTCTATGAGTGACTACGTTCCCCAGTAGCAGCTCTCAGTCTGTGGCAGCCAGAAAGCCACTTCATTAAGGCGACAGATCCGAGCCACAAAAGAACCGCCGCCTGGGGAGAGGACGGCGAGTGAGGTGGGGGCAGCCCAGGGTCAGAGCCCTGCCCGCCCGCCGCACACTGCCTCTCCCGGTGCCCACTGTGCCCACACAGAAACAGACGCCCTGCGGCCTTGCCGGGCGCCCTGGGTCCTGGAGCTGCTGTGATAGGGACAAGCCGAGGGCACCAGGGTCTGGGAGGCACGTCCTCCTCAACTCTCGCCCCTGTCTGAGGAAGAGCTGATTGAGAGGCCCTTGGAGGGCTGGGGTGAGCTCAGCGGCAGAGGGCTCCTGCTGTGCCCCAGGCCCTGGCTTCAGCCCCCAGCACCACAGGAAAAAAGAACTCCTGCAAAGCATTGCGGTCATCACCTGCTGCATGTCCCTAGGGGGGTGGACACAACCCCTGGAGCATCATCTGTAAGGATGGGCAGAAAGGGGCGATGTGATTCTGACTGATTCCCTTGCCTGCAGGTGTGCTCAGTCAGCTGGGGTGCCCAGTCCACTTTGCGGGGGACAGTAATCTGGAGTGACCCTGTCCTGGCTCATCCACACGCTCATCAAAGACCAGGTGGACAGGCCAGGCCGAGGCAGGGAGGTGCCCTGGAGCAGGTCCCCTGCCCACCTTCACTCGCCAACCTCCGTGCTCTGAGAAAGGACGAGCCCTTGGCCACTGGTCTCGAGAACCTGGAGGACGCGGAGCTGAGCCCTCCGCCCAGCCCTGCCCACGCTGGGTCTGCACTGGCAGGTGTCCATCCAGCAGGCTTAGACCGGCCTCGGTGGAGGAGCCTGGGAAGAAGAAAAGGGGGTGGGAGGCTTCAAAGCAGTGGCTGAGCTCGGCCACCCTCTCGGCATTAAGAGCCAACGCTTCCTCTGCCCAGTTTGCTAGAACACCTGAGCTCGCAGGTTGAACCGAGGGCTCTGACCTGTTCCACCACTGCCAAGACACCTGGTCGCACTTCCTCCTCAAGTCCCAGCACCCCCCCACACAGCCCGTGGTCCTCCCTGGGGAGAGCTCTCGTCCCCTCCAGGCTGGTGAAGGTGACACTCAGGAAGCATTTACTTTGGAGCAGGGATTCAGCCCCCTAGTGCCCAGCTTTCTCCCCCAGCCTGGCGGCTCCTGCTCCTCTCCAGAGCCCTCGAGAGCTGCCCACAGCTGTTCCCTATGTTTACTTCAGACACAGAAAGGGGTTCCTCCTGGTGTGCCCTTCAGTGGCCCGCGTCTGTCTGTAATCCCAGACTTGAGAGGCCAAGACAGGAGGATCGCAAGTTAAAGGCCAGCCTGGGCAACTTAGTGAGGCCTTAGTGAGACCCTGTCTCAAAATAAATAAATAAATGAAACGAATGGAAAAGCTAGGCACGATGGCCACGCTTGTGATCCCAGCAACTGAGGAGGCTGAGGTAGGAGCATTGCAGGTTTGAGGCCAGCCTGGGCAATTTAGCAAGACCTTGTCTCAAAATAGAAAATAAAAAGGGCTGGGATGTAGCTCAGTGGTAGAGCACCTCTGTGTTTAATTCCCAGTACTGGGGGTCGGGGGGTGGGGAATGGAGAATACTTCTGTCTATAGTTTCCTGTATGTTTCAAAAATCAAAATTCTTCTTTTGGAGGGCGGGTATCAGGGATTAAACTCAGGCACTTGACCACTGAGCCACATCCCCAGCCCTTTTTATTTTGCATTTAGAGCCAGGGTCTCACTGAGTTGCTTAGGGCCTTGCTTTTGCTGAGGCTGGCTTTGAACTCGCGATCCTCCTACCTCAGCCTCCTGAGCTGCTGGGATTACAGGCACGTGCCACTGCGCCCAGCCCAAAAAAAGGTTCCTGGGGTAGCTGCTGTGTGAGTAGGAGGGAGTCACCTCCTTTAATTTGGCTCCAGTGTGAAGACGCTGCAGCAAAGAGGCTGCTTGAGACCTCAGCCCTGATGAAGCCCTTGTCACCTGGTGCTGGTTGTCCCCTTGGGAACGCCCTCTCAGACCAGGTCTTGGACAGGCTCTCTAACTAGTCACTATGGCAGGCACGAGGCGGGGGGTGCTGGGTGACCACCAAGAAGCCTCAGCTTTTGTGCCCACTGAGGGCAGTGACCGACCCTGCTCTACCGAAGGACAACGCGAGGGTTCCACATGGGACAGCGTCTCCAGGAACAGCCTTCACTGAGGTCCAGCGTGCATCACAACGTGTACCAATTCAAGCTGACCGTGTTTTGTGGTGACACACCCACTAGCCGGTGACATCCAGGCTGACCCAGAGCTGTCCCCACACCGTGCCCGAGCAGCACCACAGCGGAGCTACAGCTCACCCCCAGCTGGCTCCCCCCAGGTCCTGTGTGGGCGCCGGCAGGTCGTGACATGGGCCACTCTCGCTGTGCCACTGTTACCCTGTGAGCACCCTGTAGCCTACCCTCTCCTCCCTGAGGAGCAACTGCACCATTTTCAGTGTCTAGGTTCCTGTTCTGTGACAGTGCCCGCATCAACAGTGGCTGCCAGCCCCTTGGTGCACTGGGCCCCTGGATGCTTCCTGGTTCAGGGCCTGAGAGGAGGACTCAAAGTCACCCAGACACGCCGCCCCCGTGCAAATGCACATTTTTATGGAGACAGAATATAATTTCTATTAGATTCTGAAGGGGTTCTAGCACCTCAACATGCTTAAGGAACCACGATCTTAGACTGGCAGACCAAACTCAGTGTGGTGAGGTCAGGGGACACGTGGCAGGTCCTCATTTGGGAGACAAGAAGTATATCATGCCACACAGGCACATGGGCTGAGGTGTCGGGTCTCATTTGTGTCAGCTGACTCACACAGATGCCAACACACCTGAGGACGCTGTGACGACCACACAACAGTCCACTTTGCACACAAGGAGCAGCCTCCAGTTGTGGCTGTCACCAGACAGGTCCATGTCTTTTTTTCAGACCAGTCCTGAGGAAGACCCTGCCAGCAGCAGGAAGGCCCCGGGAGGCCGGGTGCCCGACTCCACCCGTGAGCAGCAGCGGCCCACACCTTCTGTGTCTGTGGAGGGGGCAGGGCCTGGGCCCAGTGACAAGCCTGGGGCTTCAAAGGCACCATGAGCAGAAGTGCTACTATCCACCTCCTCTTACCAGTGTCACCCAGCTTGCGTGGAGGCTGGTGGAGGGAGGGTTAGCAGCCCCACCCAGAGGTCCTGTGGAGGTCCCCAAAGGCAGGACACTTGTACTCCTTCTTGTCCACACCAAGAAAGACCGTGCCCGGCATAGCTGATGTGGGTGGAGCACATGGGGCTGTGGGTGGGAACAGAAAGTAGGTTTGAAGGAAAAGGAAAAAGGGACCCGACGGATTCACCCAGCCTGCGAGGGCCTCAGGACGCGGCCTCCTCCCCCACTTCAATGACCGTGGCAGCCTGACACGGCCGGTCAGATGGGGCCTGGACGGGGTGTGGAAGCCAACAAGTGCGGGCCAAGGACTCGGAGGGGCCAGAGCGCACAGCACAGCACAGCGAGTGAGTCCTGCAATATCGGCCCCAGGACAAGGGTGACGCTGGGCGGGTGGGTGGGGCTGTCACCGTGGGAACCCGCCACCCCTCTGTTCCATGAAACAATGTTGGACCTCAGCTCAGGAGCCCCAAGCCCACGTCACCCTCCCCACATGCACACAATGGCTTGGAATGACAGGAGTCACAGAACAGAGCAATGTGCCAGCAATTTTATAAACACTTATTTATTTCAAAAATACTACAGAGGAGAGATTTAGATAAAAAAAAAAACAAAAAAAACACAGTCATATACAGAAACAAAATGCACTGGACCAAGGGAGAGAAAAGGGTCACCCTGGGCATCCAGAAGGGAGTACAGTGGAAACCATTTACACGTCGTTTATAAAAGAGCATGTCTATAAGAGAGTGTGATACCAAAGTATAAATGCAAAATATAGTGGCACATCATGGAGAGACCAGTACCTCGTGGAACGGGCGGTCGGGGAGTGGGAGGTGTGTGGCTTGGTCTCAAGGCCGCTGGCGGTGTGGTGGTGCCTCCCGGGCTGAGCCACAGCCGTCGGGGGCACTGTGAGGACCCCATGAAAACGACCCAGAGGAAACCATCTTTTCCAGAAAAGTAAAATGTGAGTTTAGGTGGTCGGTGTGCAAGTGGGGCCTCGTGAAGCTGCACCTCGCACCCCTCAGCTGGGGCCAGGCAGGCCCCGGCCCGGCCCCCGGGTCACCAGGCTCTGCCCTGGGCTCTGGTCCCGGCCAGCCTGGCCTGCTCTGAGAAGACCCTGGGGTTTCCTGCCTGTGGTTTTCTCAACAGTCCCTGGTGGCCCCATGGGAACACTGGGCTAAGTGTTGCTCATGGTGATTAAATAAAAGATGTGCAGTTGAAGGTGCCTGAGCTGGGGAGGGCCTGGGGGAGCCGTGGCATTCCTTCTGAGCCTGGGGCCTGGGGGCAGCTCCTTTCTGGGTCAGGTGGCTGTGTGGAGGGCACAGGAGTTCCAGAAGACTACCTTTCACCAAGAGGAGGCCCCATGACAATCTCCTGTGTCTCAAGAGGAGCAGGGAGGGAAGGGAGACTGGTCAGAAACCCAGGCCTTTTGGGGCACCTGGATGTGTGCAAGGGTCCCCTGGCCACTGCAGACCTGCCCAGGCCCAGCCCTGGGCTAGCACCTCCACTTCTACCCCCCTGGGCACCCGCTCAGCACTCAAGCTTTCTATCCAGGATTCGCAGTGCATGTCACAGGGAGCCAGAGCTAGAGGCTGGGACCCAGCGAGGACACAGAGTAAAGACCCCCAGCCTGACACTCTTTGGCTCCCTGCTGTTGGGCCTCCAAGGCTAGCTGGGTTTGGCACCCCGTGTTCCCTTGACTCCACAGCTGTCCCTTCTGCGAGAACTGGAGAGCTCACCAGCGACTGGAGGGTGGTGCAGCGTGCATACCTCTTGGGGACGGAGTTCTCCAGGCAAGGGGCCTTCAGCGTGGAAGGTCAGGACAGCAGGCGGGCTCCCTCCAGGGGTTGGAGGTGACGGCATCTGGAGGCACAGCTGGAGCAGGAGGTCCAGGGAGAAGCAAGGCCAGGGTGATCCTCACAGCTGTTCCCAGCTGGCCTGAGAGCTGAGTCCAAGCACCAGGGGGTGACAAGCCTGGTGGGCCCTGGAGTGCCACCTACAGTCCACAGAGAGAGGACTCCACAGATAGTAGGAGAGGTGGCTCATGGGGCCGGGCTGGGGAGGCGACGTGCAGGAGGACAGCTGGTGCACAACATAGGTAGTCGGGCAGGACTCTGTGGGACCCTGGTGCCCCCCTGGCGCAGAGCCCTGGGCCAAGTGCGGCTCACTGGTCCTTTGTCAGGCAGGGCAAGCCCTAGCAGGCTGCAAGCAGTTCCGGCTGGTGACCCCTGGCTCCTGCTACCTCTGCACAATGTCGCTGATCTCCTTCACAGAGCTGAGGAGCTTGCTGAAGTCCTGCGTGGCTGCGGGGCCACCCCCTGCCGTGGCCGGGCAGATCTGAAGCTCCCGGAGGCTGCTCTCCAGTTTGTTGATGGCCTCTCGGAAGGCGAACTTGTTCCTCATCTGCTGGATGGAATCCACGTAGCTCACGCAGAACGTGTAGAGGTTCTTGCCGGCCTCCAGCACTGCGCTGTGGCTGGCCATCTGCTCAGAGTTCCTGGAGATGGCCAGGCACAGGGCCTCGGTGCTGTCCAGGACCACGCCCTTCGTGATGGTGCCACTGGCGATCCTCTCTGGGGGTTGGCGGGTTTTCCTAAGTGATACGCGGGTTGATATGAGGGGGACAAAGGCCGTGGACGAAGGCTGGTCACCTGCTTGGGCTGAGGATGCTGCTGGCATCACGGAGGGGCCAGGGGCTGGGCTGGTGGGGGTCCCGGGAGGCTTGGTGGCTGATGGTGGCTTGGGCGTGGATGGGAGCACAGGCTTTTTGAGGCCTTCTCCTGGCTGGCTGGGTTTGGTGGTGTCACTGTTCACAGCATCTACAACCAGACTGGTGGCCTTTGCTTTTGCGCTGACGCCCGTGTCCCCTGCTGCTTCCTGGCCTGGGCTCTGTGAGGGCTTCCCCATTTTCCCTGTGGAGGCTGGTGGGGGCGGGGGGGCAGGCTTGAGCTTGGACAGCCTCCCCTTGTCTCTCCCTGGTGACTCGGGGGGGTGCTTGTGCCTTCTCACTCTGGACTCCTCGGCCGGGGCCTTGCTGGGGACCCCAGAAGCACCTGCCCCTGCCCTGCTGAGGGGGGGCGGTGGCTCAGCTGCAGCAGGGGCCCCTAAGGCACTGCCCTTCCCAGCCTCGTCCTTGTGGGGGAGGCCAGAGGAAGCAGCCATCATGACCTGCCGACGGAGGAGCTTTGGGGTCAGACTGGGAGGGCTGGAGCCAGGGCTGGCCCCGGCGCTGTCTCTGAAGACCTCGTCAGCGGCCTCCTCGCTCTTCTTTGCCAGCCGCGGCGGGGGGGTCACCGTGCCTCTGGCCACCTGGTCAGGCCTGTTCTCGCTGGCCCGCTTTCGAGGCAGAGCTGGCTTCTCACTCTTGTGCCCCGCAAATGTGGAGGAGTCAAACTGCCTGCCGGTGGACTGCAGGTCCCGCGGCAGAGTAACGGACCGCCACTCGGTGTCCCTGGCCCCGTGGGGCACGCAGGAGGCCGAGCAGGACCGCAGGAAGCGCTTGCTGGAGCTGCTGCCGGCCTCCTCTTCACTAGCTGCCAGTCGGCTGCTGGTCAGCGTGCTGGACTTTTTCCACAGGTGGGGAGAACGGAAGCCCGAGCCCCCAGGCTCCCGGAAGGCTCCATTGGGGACACCAGCTCCATTGCTGGGCTTCGGGGACTTGGTGGGCTCAGCTGGGTCTGAGGGGGTGGGAGCTGGCGCCCCGTTGCTGGTTTCCCGGCCGTCTTCCTCACTGACCGCTCTGCGCTCTGGCTGACCATCCATCTCCCGGAAGGAGCTGCTGCGCTTGGGAGGAGTTGGGGCCATTTTCTTCTTCTTCTTGATCAGGGCGCTGAACAGGTTGGTCTTCTTGTCTTTGGGGAGAAGGCGCTCATCTTCGTTCAGGCTGCCGTCGGGGGCACCGCGCTCTTTTCGAGGGAGCAGGGGAGACACAGTAGGCTCTGGGTCCAGGGGGTCTGAAACACAGGGGAGAGGTGAGCAGCTCCAGGCCAGGAGCTCCCAGCGGAGCCTCGTGGGGTGCGGGCTGGCCCGGGCTGATGGCAGGCTCTGCATCACTGCCCGAGCCAGGCCGCTGGGCCTTTCTCTACTCACCCCAGAACTCTCCCACTTGTAAAATGCAGGACGAGAAAACCCACAGCCCGTGAGGACGTAAATGAGACGATGAAGGCAGAGCTCCCGAACCTAATTTCTCAACCATGCCACCATGGTTGTTAGTCTCCTTGAAGACAGGCAGGATGGCCCTGGCCTCCTCGTCTTAACACGGGTTTACTCTAAAGCTCAGAGTCCCTCCAATGTCACTCTCTGGTCAGTAAGGGCAATGATAAGGTCAAGCAAGGGGTCAGATGGTGGCTCTCAGGCAAGCCAGCCAGTGGAGGTTCCCACGAGGTACCATCTAGAGGAGAGGCTGCATACCACAGGGGGACGCAGCAGCAGGCCGTGGTGTGTGAGAAACAAGGTGGCCTCTCAGGACTCCCCCCGGGCATCCTTCACACATGAACACTGCTCACAGGAGGGCTCTTTCTCTTCTCGGTGGTGCTGGAGGTCACGCCAGGTCCTAGCCCACACTAGGCGAGTGCTCTCCCACTAAGCTACTCCCGGAGCCCCATACGAAACCTGAAGAGGGAAATTCTAGGGGCCGGAGCTGGGGCTCAGTGGCAGAGCGCTTGCTTTGCACGTGTGCGGCACTGGGTTCGATCTTCAGCACCACATAAAAATAAATAAAGATACTGTGTCCATCTACAACTTAAAAAAATATTTAAAAAAACTAAAGAGTGAAATTCTACACATCTGTCTCAGGGCAGGAGAGCCACCTGACATTCCTGGCTCATCATGAGACACACAGCAAAACACCCCTCAGAAGATCACCGATGGGCGTGAATGAACACAACTGTGGACCACCGGGCTTTTACGCTACCACGTGGCCTCTCCCCTCTGCCACTCCCCCGTCCGCAGTCATGGGACTACCACAGGATGAAGGCTGAGGGCTCCAGGCAGTCTGCGGGCCGCAGCCTGCAGCTGGGCGGGGAGTGCAATTGCACATGGCCACTCCTGTGGAGGCTGACCCTTCCAGCCCTTCCTACTGGGTCTGTGGGTTCTGCGGTGAGTAAAAAGCCCTTGCAGACCTCCACGAGAACTGGCTTTATCCTGCCCCTTCCCACTCGCCCAGGCTGGTAGCATCAGGCCCACCACCAGCATTTGCCAGGAGCCTCTGTGAACCCAGACGCCTGGCCCTACTCAGACACCTGGACCCAGTGATCCCCAGCAGAACCAGTCTTCCGACTCTGGAGGCACCTGCTACCTTAGAGCGGAGCCTGGCACGTGCACAGGAGCACTGGGCCAATGTTTGCTAATATCATCCTTGGTAATCTCTTGAGGCCCGCCCTAAACTGATCCCATCTCCGGGGTTCTCCTGGGTAAGTGTGCGACAAAGACACTCTTTCGGAAGCCACAAGGGAGAGGCTGTTCCACAGGCATCTGCTGGCTCCACTCAGCTCGAGTGGACGGCTCCTATTGCTGCCTTTACAACCAGCTGCTCTGTTTGGTCCAATATTTACCACTGCTGCACTGGCCCTGAAAGATGCCTCCAAATGTGGTGAATGAGAGATGCCGAGGCCTCGTAACACCTCTGCCTTCTGACTGAAGCTGACGGCCCCTGAGTGATTCCCAGGGTAGGGTGGTGCTGTGCGGGAGGAGAGCCTTCCTCTGTCCAGAGCGGGACTCAATGAGGGACGCCTATTCCTCAGTGTGGGCCCATGCACAGCCTCCTGACAGGGTGGGTGGCTGGGAACGTACCGCTCTCCCCCTGGCCCTTGGAATGGGGCGTCTCGGGCACGTCGGTGGCATCTTTGTGCTCGGCAGCCCTCCTGGAGGTCCTGGTCTTGGTGGGCAGCTCTGGGGCCTGCAGGAAGGTGCTCGTGGCTCCCCGAACGCCTTGCTTCCCCAGTTCCTTTTCCACTTCTGAGAATCACACAAACAAGACCCAGAGCCATCAGCGACAGTCAGCTCAGAACGGGCTCCCCTTTGCCTTTTAAGACACAGTGGGCATCAATGCTGTACAGAGAAGGGATACAGATGCTGAAGGAACAGCACTTTCTGAGCATTTTCCAGAACTCTGCAGGGCCACCAAAGAGCCCAGTGCCAACACCTGTGGCCTGCTTTCTGGGCTCAGAACACTTGCTGACCCGGGCACTTTTGCCAGAGGAAACTAGAGGCTGAAGGCTGAAGCCGTGTCTGGCAGGCCCAGCCCCACGGTCACCCCACTACAGGCACCCTGGGCCTTTACCGTCCGAAATACTGGATTCCTGGAACATTGTTTCAAAGGCTTGATGGATTTCAGCAAACGAGGGCCGGTCAGAGGGGTTCCACTGCCAACCTACAGAGAAAAGGCCAGGTCAGACCATCCACAGCCCTGCTAACAAGTGTGGGCCAGCAACTCCTAAGGGGCGGTCTGGAAAAGGGACTCCAAGCCTGTTATCACATGGTTCTGTCACAAGTTAAAGTGACAAATGCCACTGTATCCCATTACAGACATTAAGAATTTGAAAAGACATTACCAATTGTCAGGAACATGAACTGCAAAACCCTAGAGAGACACCAACACTAAAAAACCACATTTATAAATGTATTTTCCCAGCCCCACTGTCATAGGTGTTGAGAGTTAATAAGCCAAACGGCCTGCTCCTATCTCAGCCTTACTTCACGGTTACCCAAGTCTGAAACTTCCTCAGTGGAGAAACGCTATTAAAACAAGACCAAACGAGGATGAAGAGCAAAAACGCCAGGGTGGGAGCACGTGGCTGCTCTCAGGTGCTCCCGAGGGCAGTGCAGGTTGGCACTGCCTTTTCGGGATGACAACCTGGAATACTTTATCAAAATTTAAAACGCACACAGTTCTTTGAACAACGCAGCTTTCAGACACGAGGTGAGCCCTCAGAGACCACACAAGGGTGCTCATTCCTGCCTTGCTTATGGTGGCGAGAACCACACAAGTACACAAACCACCAAAACCCGTCCCCAGAGGGCTGGGGGGACAGATGAAGTCACTGAATGGAAAGCTAGGCAGCTCCACGAAGACACAAGGCAGGGGTCGGGAGAGACCTGATGTCCGGACAAGGAGAGGTGTCCTGTTACGCCCAGCGGAGCACAAGCTGAGGAACGAAGGAGCACACTCCTCACACACACAGGAAGCACACAAGTGTACCGTCCAAATACATGTGCGTTGACACGGGTGAGCAGTGTGAAACTGCCTGGGTGGCACTGCCTGCAGGTTCGGCCAATGGAGCGCAGGGCTCAGGCAGGCCCAGGAATCTGCACTTATCAGTGACAAGCCTGGGTTTGGTATCCGTCTATCCCATTGAAAAATGAGAACAAAACAACTCAGAGGTATGTCAATGCAGGTGTACAGAGCACTAAAGAAAGTCTCAAAATGTACGTCAAGCTGCTGCCGTAGGGGCTTCTGAAGCACGGGAGCAGAGAGCCACGGGAACCCCACTGTCTGCTGCATGTGCACTCTCCCAGCCCTGGAGTTTCTCACCCCCCAGGCTTTCTAGAACGTGCGGGGGAAGCTCACATGCTCGCATGAGTTCGTAGACCTTCTCGGGGCAGCCTTCCGGCCGCTCCATGCGGTAGTCTTTCTCCAGCAGCTCATACACCTGGGACAGGTCGATCCCCGGGTAAGGAGACATGCCATAGGTAGCGATTTCCCAAAGCAGTACTCCAAATGCTAAAAGAAACAGAGACAGGCTCATGGAGAGGCGTGAAGTCTGGCATCCTGTACAGCAGACATCAGAAGTCACCCCTCAAAAGCAGCCCAGGGACGGACCTGCAACCCAGGCCCACGGGGCACGATGGGACTGTCTACTCCCACCACAGACCAAGCCAGGCTGAGGAGAGAGGGTGACCAGGTCAGCCCCTCTGGGAAGCAGCCTTTGCAGGGCCACGGGGCAGAGGGCACCACCCTCTTTCACAGCTCTGCGTCCGCAGCAGGCCACCTCTGGTTTCTGGGTATATGGGATTATCTCTAAGCCCTGGGCTTCCAACTCTAAAAATTTCACAAAATTTTTTTAAAAGACTTGAAATCCCATTTTCCACCAATGGACCAAGGACTCCTTGGAGGAGCATGATTCAGGTCTAGGCCAGGGAGGGGACCTGGACTATCTCACAGTCTCAGACACACAGAGGTGTGGAGGACTGTGAACCATATTTGAATCTCGGTTCAAACTGTGAAAGAAAATATGATTTTTATAATTTGATTGGAAATTTGAACGCCGGATATTTGATAATATTCAGAAATTCCACCAAGTTTGAGGGCAGCACTGTGGTTATGCTAATAGAACTCATCTCTAAGAGATGATACTGAAATATCTGGTGCAGAACATAGGAAGTCTGGGATTTGCTTCCTGACAACATGGGGCAGGGAGTGGGCAGGGTGGATCACACAAGACCTCCATGAGCCAGTGACCATTACGGCTGGCTGACCGGTACAGGTGCTCATTCTGGCTGTCTTCTTCAGTGTGTGCTTACAGTTGTCTGCACAAAGAGTTCTTTAAAAAATAAACATAGGTGATCGCCACATGAGATGAGCTCATCCCTGGCACCACCCGGTGGCTATTTAATTCTTCCAAGTCTGCTCCGCTCTTGCCATCTCAGCAGACCACGCTGGCTTTGGTGTGGAGAGCTGTGATTTGCCAGGGTGACACACTATGTCAAGGGACGAAACAAGTGTCCTTTTAAATGCCCAAACCACACTAAGCAAAATTCCCTGCCCAGAGGAAGGTTCTGGGTACCTGTAGGGCCAGCTGGCTGCCCCAGCAAACCCAAGCAGTGAACTGAGAATGACCACATGAGATGGCACGGACATCAGCAGTCAGTAAGCTATTCTGGGCTACCAGGGTTTGGAAAAAAAAAGGGAGAAAGGAATTTTAAAAGGAGAAAGAAAGAAAAAAAAAAAAAAAAGACAGGGAATGAAGTAATGAAGAGAAAAAGAGGGAAGGCAAGAAGCCGGGGTGCAGGGGAGGCACTGAAGGCTCGCCCTGGCAGGGCCTCACCCCAGACGTCAGACTTGATGGAGAACTTGTTGTAGGCCAGGCTCTCGGGTGCAGTCCATTTGATGGGGAACTTGGCTCCAGCATGGGCTGTGTAGGTGTCCCCTGTCATTAGCCGGCTCAGGCCAAAGTCGGCCACCTTCACCAAGTGGTTTTCCCCTACTAGGCAGTTTCGGGCAGCAAGATCTCTGAGAAGGGAAGGAGTTCATCTGTGAGGGCCTCTGGCTGGCTCCAGACCCACCACCACTAGGCAGAGGTGCAACACGACACTGGGAACACGGAGTCTGGTCCCAGGAAGCTTCAGCACGTGCCAGGGGGCAGCACCAGTCCCTCAGCAAACTGCTGGGGCTGGTGCTGGGAGCAGGCCCTCTGGGCCTGTGACCTGGACCAAGTTAATTACTTTGGGACTCAGCCATAAAGTGAAGACAAGAGTAACCATGCTCACCTCTCAGGACTGCTGTGGGAGGTGATAAAACACGTAAAGTGCCTCTGTGGGCACCGAGAACACAGGGGCTTGTCTAAGTGTGGCAACTGCTAGGCTGTGCCAGGCCCAGGGAGCAAGCCCTCAGCCAGACCCCCGAGTGCAGGAAACACAGATCAGAGTGAGCCTCCCACACCTGTCCCGACTCCACAGGAAGAGCACAGTCCAGCCTGCAGCACTCCACTCAGACTGGCTCCCGACTCTCCTCGACTTCCTGGTGCAACCCCGACACACTCTAAAAACTCTCTCTGGCCTAATGCGCTCCCTCTCACCTCAATTCTCCCAGGAAGGTGGGTGTCTGATCTTTGGTTCATGGATGTTAACCATGAAATCCCAGGCAAAGTGGAAGGCAGGGGTAAGGCCAGGCACAGCTCAAGGCGCTGCTGCAGATACAGCTTGGTCACCAGCAATGAGAGATTAAATACAGAGGAGTGGTCCTAACAGGATTTTGGTAAAGCACTTAAACTTTGCCTGAATGGAGAGGGGACAAACCTAGCCATGCAAGGCAAACCAGAAGTCAAGAAATCTCAATTTGCAGCATCAGAGGTTTGCTGTGCTGAGTGACAGGAGCATCTGGACTGGGCCTCATGGAGCATGGAAAATCCGCCTTAGGAGGAACTGCAGCATTTCACACGCGCTCTCTAAGAAATCTCATGTAGAGGTTTCACACTTGAGTTAACTGGGTAGGAAAGGCTGACAGTGGCATGGAAAACATCTCACACAAATGACTCTGGCAAAGCCTACCAGGTCCTGTCCTGTGGGCATCCCTCTGCTGAGAAGCCACGTCCACCTGGAAGTGTGACACCATGGCACCTCAGCTCTCCTGAAGGCCTGATGCTCCGGGCCTTGAAGCAGCAGCCCCCAATTCAGGTCTGCACACATGCAGTTCTGACCATCAGGAAATGTCCCTGAACCAGGCAGCAGCAATCTGTGCTCTGCTGTAACCATGAGCTCGAATGAAAGCAAGCTGCTGTCAGAAGAGGCATCACCGACAAACCTGGCCTCGGAGGAAGAGCGAGCGAGCACTCGGTCCCCAAGGGAGCGGTGATGTCAGGAAGGACACCTCCTACGGGCTTCATATACTATTCCACTATCCAAAACGGCTCTGGAGTGACATGATTCTTACTCTGGGGATGAGCTGCTCCACTGGTCCAGGGTCTATCCTGGATGATGCCTAGGGCGCTCTGTGTGTGTCTCTGTTCTGAGGCCTGGGGCGGCCAACACTCACACCAGAGGAGGCGCCTGAGGGCCCCGGGCTGGGCGGCGGGGGAAGGCTGCCCGGCCAGGGTGGCCTACCTGTGGATGAAGTTTTTCCTCTCCAGGTACTCCATGGCCGAGGAGATCTGCGTGGCCATGTACAGCAGCACCACTGCGTTCACCTCCTGCCGGTTACACTCTCTCAGGTAATCCAACAGGTTCCCGTAGGTCATGAACTCCGTGATTATATAGAATGGGGGCTCCCGCGTACAGACTCCTGCCAACAGGACACGGAGGGCTTTGGCATGTGGCTCTGCCCAGCCAAACACACCTGGCAGGGCCTGGCTCAGAAGCAGATTCCGACTCTGCCCCTGTGCCCGGTGCCCAGCTTCTCACATGGTTCCAAGCACCGGCCGCCTGAGACCGTGCTCCTGTGCCAGGGGCGTGGCCACCCTCTTCTCTCAAGCCCAAGAGCCTGAACTGACACAGGCAGAGGCTGCCGGTGAGACAGGAAGGAAGGCCAGGCCCCCACATCCAGGGACCCAGGCCAGGCTATCTGCAATGGTTATGTCACGTCCACGTCCATCTACTTCAATGAGAAAGCGCCTGAAAATCCCCAAGTTTCAGCAGCTAATGAGATTTACATACAACCCCCCCACACACACCCCCACACAGTCAGTGTCAGCTCAAAACCCTAGGGGAGTGCTGCTGCGGGCTCTTCCTGTAGCACCTGTGTCCCTCGGTGCTCCCTCTGCCGGCCCCACGTACCCAGCAGCTGCACCAGATTCGGGTGCTTGATCTCCTTCATGACCGCGGCTTCTTTCAGGAACTCTTCCACCTCCATGGTGTCCTCCTGCAGAAGGAAGGGAGAGACATGCTCATGCAGGCAGGCACGCCTGATCGGCTCACATAAGCTGGAACCTCAATGTCCACTCAGCCGGGGCCACCCCGTCTACGGTCACGCTGCTATGGATGGGTGACTCCCCTGTAGGCACTGGCTTTCCCCTCTGTCCCAAGCTTGTGAATTCCTTCCCGGGGCCATGGTTCAAAGGTGGCTTGCACACGTGGTACCAGAGACACTGACCGGACGCTCCACCCTAGGAGTTTGTGGTGTGAGAGGTGTGGAGCGGCTGCTCTCCTGGGGCTCCCGACACACCATAACCACCACTTCAAGAATCTTTAGTGTTCTGCCTGGGGGAGGACACCTGGTGACAGAGTCTGTGCTATGGTCTAGGCGTGAGGTGTCCCCTTGTTCCTATGCTGCAGGAGGGAGAGGACAGGGGACTGGACTGTGAGGCCCCGAGTTCTAGTCCATCCTGGCTTGCAAGGACTCGCTGGGTGGTGACTGTGAGCAGGTGGGCACAGCTGGAGGAGGGGGACACTGGGGCCCTGTGTGGCTGGGGGCATTTCCCCTGTTGCCCCTGCCCCTTCTCTCTCTGCTTCCTGGCCACCACAGGGTGAGCGGCCTTCCTCCACACACCTCTGCCTCACCTCGGGCCCAGAGCAATGGAGCTGGCTGACCAAGAACCCACGGCTCTAAAGCCAAGGTCGTATGAGCCTCTCCCGTCTACGGTTTCCCTTCCAGGTGTCTTGGTCACAGTGATGAAAAGCTAACAGTCTGCACTGCCAAAGAAGGTCGCTCCGCAATGCGGCACCTAGGGTGCTGGGCTGCCTAGGCAGGGTGTCGCAGGCTCCTGGTGAAGCCGCCGCCACAGCTCCTAACAGACGGCATGCGTGTCCCTACAGGTCACACACAGGAGTCCACAACACCCAATGCCAACAGGGAGAGAAAGGCACGGGCAGGTGCCCACACAAACGCCTCTGGCGCTTCCTCACGGTGCGCAGAGTGGAGTGTGAAGAGCAGTGGCCCTGGCACCCAGCCTTGTGGCCTACGTCCATTAGCCTCTTTGTGACTTAGGCTGAACTGACCATCAAGACCAGAAGCAAGCAGGGGACCGGCAGGGCCAGCCGTAGTGACCACCTGGCTGTGGAGGCGAAGGAGAGAGCGGGGCACTTGTTCTGTGGAGTCTGGCTCTGAGAGGAGGACGGCTAGGTGTCCGGGGAGTTCGGCTCCCTGAGAGAAAGCTCTCCAAGCTCCCCGCTGCAGGGGAACCCCAACACTGCCAAACCAAGGAGCTGCCGTACCCTTCCTGTACAGCGGGCTGGGCCGCCCCCTCCCCGACGGGCACCCTTCCCTCGGAGCGGCCCCCGCGGGTTGGCATGCTCACAAGCGAAGCAGGACCAGCGCGGCCGTGTGCCAGCCCATTACCCCTGGCTCGGGCTCAGAGACGGGAGCTCAGAAACAATTGATCGCTCTTTAAAAACAGCTAGCTGCTCTTAATGGCCATTAAACACGGTGGGCAGTCGCTGTGTCAAGCCGCACGGGCAGAGCTCATCCCTGGCACCACCCGGTGGCTATTTAATTCTTCCAAGTCTGCTCCGCTCTTGCCATCTCAGCAGACCACGCTGGCTTTGGCGTGGAGAGCTGTGATTTGCCAGGGTGACACACTATGTCAAGGGATGAAGAGCTAGTGGCCACCAGAACACAGGGACTGCTGCTGCCCACGTCCAGGACCCAGGCTTTCCGGTCACTCCTCGGCCAAGAAGATGCTCAAAATGTAGCTCTCAAATGAAGCTTTTTAGGAGTTGAGTCTTTCTTTTTAAAGTGCCACAAAATAAACCATGCACGGTGAGACGGTTTCAGAAACACCACTTGCTGACCACCTTCCACAAGAGCCACCCTAGGAAGATCATGAACGGCACCAGTCTGCGGAAGGAGCCACGTGGCTTTCTTTTTTTTTAAGAATATATTTTTTTTTAGTTGTAGATGGCCACAGCACTTTTATTTATTTGTTTTTATGTGGTACTGAGGATTGAACCCAGTACCTCAAACTCTCTGCCACTGAGCCACAAGCCCAGTCCCGAGTCACATGGCTTTCAAAGGTACCGATCTCTGTTCCTGTCTGTTTTCTCCCTCCCTTGCTCTGTCTCTCACACACACATACAAACACGCACATACCACAGATGATACAAACAATTCCTTCTTTTTTCTTTCACAAAAATTAGTATGAGGGCTGTGGCTGTGGCTCAATAGTGGAGCACCTGCCGGGCATGTGTGAGGCCCTGGGTTCGATCCTCAGCACGGCATGTAAGTAAGTAAAATAAAGGTTCATCCACAACAACAACAAAAAGATGGTGTGAACTTGTCTCCTTTGCTGGAATCCTACACAGTTCCATTCACCGCTCACTCACACTAACAGCTACGAGATCTGAGAGCTGGAGACACTCCTGGCCTCTCCTTGGGATGCTGGGGTGGAGGAGGTGGCCTGAGGGAGCCCTGGGCAACCTCATCTCCCCATCTGTTAACTGGCCCCTTCGGAGGGCTGGCTGGCCCGGCCCAGCTGTGGACAGGCATTGAGGATGGTACAGCAGAATGGTTAGGAGGACGGCTTGTCAGACACCGACCTTGCTCTGCTGCCGGGTGACCTTGGTAACCTACTGTCCATCTCTGAACATGTTCTGTCACCTGCGAAATGAAGGACTCTCTACAGCACAAACCCAGCATGCTCAGGGCAGGGCTTGGACGCGGGCAGCACCAGGGCGCTCACTGTTAGTAAGACAGTCGGTCTCTACCCTAAGAAGCACCAGCTGGGCGGCAGAAAGGTTCTACAGAAGACGGGCTCTTGTCTTCTCAGAAGAAACTTCACCCAGACCCGAGGCCTGTGCAGCGTTCTCTAACCACTTTTCTTCTCAGTCCTGGTCTCCCGCAGTGTAGCTGCTCTAGGGCGCAGGCAAGAGCAGTTTTCAGGGGTGGTGGGCTCTCAGGGCCTCCCTCCCTGCAGCACCCTGGCATTGCGTGGGGCTCTTGTCCCAGTAGGTCAGTTTCCCTAACTGTTTACCCAATGCTTGGTGAGCAAGGTGACAAGCACGTGCAGTGCCAGCTGTCGCCACCAAGGAGCCAGAAGCAACAAGACTAACAACCTGTGGAGGGAGGGGCAGCTTCTATGCTAGGCCAGACATGGCCTTGAGGCTCACGTGGAGAGCCCGTGGCAGCAGGGCTGGACTCTGGCCCCTAGACAGGCCGCTGCACAGAGCTGCTTGTCCAGAGGACTGGGGACAGCCCCCTGCAGAGAGCCGGGCGATGCTGCCCGAGGGGCCAGGGGCCGCGTAGCAGCAGGCGCTGAGCTACGCAGGCTCCCCTCCCCCTTGCGTGCAGCCCTCCTCATCAGGTCACAGTGCCACTGTGGGCGTGATGCCAAGAGTGGCTGCTGTCACCCAGCCCTCCGCTTTCTCTGCATGTTTCTGGAGCTCCCCAATAAAGCCAATTTCCTGGGAGAAAAAAATAAAACCTCAACCAAAGCCCAGCGAGTGGAGGGTAAGCAGTACTCCTCACACCGCTGTTGGCGGGCAAAGCCACACGCTCCTGGGAGGTGTGTGGCAGCACAACCCAAATCACCAGCGACACACGGGCATGGAGGCCGCCCAACCGGGGCGGAGGACCCTATGTGCGGATATCGCCTATTTGAGAATTATCTGCTGCTTCCACTCTCCTGTGACCTGCCGGTCAGCTCCTGCCGCAGTAGTTTTCAGACTCTGAGACTTAAGGAGAAGTCTCTCTGTTCCACAGAGAACACTGGCGTACACACACTTCCAGAACCCAGCTCACGAGCCTCTAGTTCTTGATGGTTGGTTCTTGGGAACACCTGGCCTTAAACAGAGAAAGCAGGCAGAGCCCAGCAAAGCCCAGTCCTGAGGACACTGGGGACAGGGAGAAGCAGCTTCCCGGCCACAGGGCCTTCACTGCGACTTCCCACCGGCAGGGGTCAGCCGAGAGCCCTCCTCTTTGTGGGTGTTCCCTCTGCTCTGGAAGCACCTGCCTCCGGTTCGGGGTGGAGTGATCAGGACAGGCAGGGCCATGCTCCCCCTGCTGGTTAGGAGAGGTAACAGAGTGGGCAGGAGGTGGGGGGGCAGGCAGGAAGAGCAGTGAGGCTCTCAAGGCACTGGTGAGGCAGGGAGGGAAGAAAAGGCAACTTTCTTAGACATAGACTTGAGGCTTATGTATATTTTTCATGGTGTTTGAAGAATAAGATACTGAGTTACCACTGGGGGAAAAAAAGGGCTTTAGAGTTGGCCTTTGCTGGTGCCTGGGTTCAAATCCTCTTGGCCTCAGTGTCTTCTTCCCGAAGAAGGGGGCACCTTGGTCAGTCTTAAATGGGGATTATATTAGTATTTTAGTACCCTTCTCTTTAGGCTGTAAGGATTAAATGAGACTCCATTAAATAACATGCACTCAGAATTTTGCCAGCACACACTAAAAGCCCATTAAATGCTGGTCATTTGTATAATTGAAACCCAAAGTTCAACATCCACAGTGGAGAGCAGATAAATACCTAAGCATCCACAGCTTCCCTGACCAAGGGGCGGTGACTGTGCTGGCCTGGTGAGCGCCAGGCAGAGGGCGGTCGAGCTCGCAGAGGTGGCTCATGCCTCCAGACAGGGACACAGACTCCTTCCCGACTATCATTCTTTACTAACAGTGGGGCCACCCGGAGAGGCCACTAAGAGCAGCACCAGAGTGGAATGATGTCACTCAGGTCGCAGCCCTCAAAGGCGGCCCCCCACTGCAGGCCACCGAAGCTCAGCTCTGTGCTTGTCCTCTCCCTCAATCTGTGTCTGCTGATCCTGGCACAGAGTGTGACACCAAGGAATTTGACACTCGCTCTAAGACAGGGACTCTGCACCAGTCCCCAAGCCTAGCCCTGTGGCACTGCCCCTGCAGGAAGGTGGCAAGAGTCCGGCCACACCCGTCTCGGCACTCAGGCCTGCCTGACCTCCAGACACACAGGACACTCGGGCCTGCTGTTCCCAGCATGGAAGTTTCTGTCCTTTTCTTTTCCAATAGCTACAAAAAGGGGCTCTTCTCTTGACTCCTGTGCACAGGCTTCACATTTAAAACAAGGGACAGCAACGCAGGTCAGCACTAGGGGACACTCTCACTCTAGGGAAGAACTCCACATCAGGAAAAAGGCTGAGGGCCGACAATGAACACTCCCACTGGAGCCCCAGGTTTCTTCAGAAGGAAAACAATCTGGAGACGGAACACACTTCGCTGGTGAAGGAGGAGCGTCAGTTAACAGGGGCAGTGACGGAGTGGACAAGCATGTGGCCTGACGCCTTCCCAAAGAAGGGGGCACCTCGGTCTGCAGAAGTCTGAGGCCACGGCACAGAGAACTGGGGCTTGCTGGGACACCCAAGGCACTTGCCCGCAGTCTGCCCGCAGCAGCACACAGGAGTCGTTCCCCTTAGATAACCTGGTTTTAAACCCTGAGGAGCTCTGCTTCCTCCGCCTAGGGGTGGCTCCCTGCCACTCATCAGCAGGGCAAGCCTCTGCTTCCCAGGGCCACAGAACGGGAACCCTCCTCCCTGTGGCCACCTCTGACGCTGCAATGCTCAGCCCCCAGCGGCTCTCAGTGTTCATGGAGCCACACGAAGGGGATGAACTGATCCAACCCGCAGGGGAACCCAGCCAGGCGACACCCAACCACCCCAGGGGCGGCGCACCAGGCCCACCTTCAAGGTCTTCACGGCCACGGTCAGGCTGTACTTCTTCCACACGCCCTCGTACACCTCCCCGTACTGGCCGCCGCCCAGCTTGTGCCTCATGGTGATGTCCGTGCGCTCCATCTCCCATTTGTCGTAGTTGGGGGACACCCCGTAGACCGTGGGCTTATTGCGTTTGGGGGCTGGGTAATGGAGAGTGGTGATGAGCCCGTCTGCCACCGTGGAGTGATGGTGAACCAACTCCGCCAAAGTGTTGAAGCGGCTCTCGGAGGACACGTAGAGCTGAGGAGAAGAGGGGACAGCCTTCAGCTGTGGCGCAGACGCTCTCAAGCAGGTCAGGTCAACCAGCCTGGCTGGACCTTGCTAGCACACAATAAAACCTCCAGTGGCTCTCCACCCCTGGCTGAGTCGAACGGTCACCTAGGCCGTCTTCCTCTGCGCGTGCTCGCTGCAGTAACTGATGTGCTGAAGCAGAGAGGCACCAGCAAAGGCCAAGGGCCTGCGCACCGGCAGCTCTACCCGAATCCTCCATCTCACCCCCAGGCTTCACATGTCTAGTTCCCTCTTGCCCCGAGAGCCAATTTAAATGTCCCTAGAGTCTTCTCCGATCACTCATCCAAGTCACCACCCAGCAGGTGTGATCTGTGTTACTTCTCTGTGCCATCACGGCTGCTAACATCCTACTCATCTGCTTAATCACTGTCTGCCTCCATCTACTGGGATGCGAGGCTGTAGAGCAGGCCCTGAGCGGTCCCACGTATCCTGCAGCCTCCACCCTGGAAACAAGTGAGCACAGTGAGTTCAGTGAGTTCAAGTGAGAACAAATGAGTTCAGTGGCCCACGCCCGTCATCCCAGCGGCTTGGGAGGCTGAGGCAGGAGGATCAAGAGTTCAAAGCCAGGGGCTGGGGATGTGGCTCAAGCGGTAGCGCGCTCGCCTGGCATGCGTGCAGCCCAGGTTCGATCCTCAGCACCACATACAAAGTTGTGTCCGCCAAAAACTAAAAAACAAATATTAAAAAAAAAATTCTCTAAAGAAAAAAAAAAGGAGTTCAAAGCCAGCCTCAGCAGCTTAGCAAGACCCTAAGCAACTCAGTGAGACCCGGTCTGTAAATAAAATACAAAACAGGGCTGGGGATGTGGCTCAGTGGTTGAGTGCCCCTGAGTTCAATCCCCAGTGACCCCCCCCCCCAAAAAAAGAAGTGAACATGGAAGAGCCCTGACAGTTAATTAGTGAACAGAACTCAATGCCTGTTGATCACTCGATCTGTAATCACAAGTGGACAAACCGAGACTGAGATCAGAGATGAAAGCTGCCAAGTGAACGCACATCTCCTTTGCATGGCTGCCTCTGGCTTCATCAGGGCGGGGACTTCCAATCCCTGTGGTATGCCCACGTGGGCTGTCTCCCAGGCCCCCCAGGAGCCAGTGGGGTCCTGGAGGCACCGGCACTGCCTCTTCCATCACAGGGAGCAAGCAGAAGGCCTTTAAGTACAAGAGCGTAAGAGACCCACGGCAGGCGAGGACCGCTGCCGGGTGTGCCAAGGCCCAGAACAGGACAGAGGGAGGGAAGGCGCAAGCTGGCGGGATCTCCCAAGTGGGCGGCGATCACCACTTTGCCTTCTCCCCCCCTGTCTCAGAGCTGTGGAGATGAAAACCTTCTAACCACAAACAGCTCTGGACTGAAATCCGCACAGAACACTCGGGCTCCAGGTGTGTAACAGTCTATTTGCTTGATAAAGGTGGGAAAGACACCTAAAATCACAACTAGGTACTTTGGTCCAAACTGCAAAGTTGTGGAGAGAAGAAATACAATTTAGGGACAACAGTGACATTTGGCGTATCAAGGTCGTGGTGGGGAGGAATAGGGTCAGGCTTTACCTGAAGCTATAGCATTTTATTACTTTAAAAAAGAAATGTGGTGCACACCTGTAATTCCAGTGACTTGGGAGGCTGAGGCAAGAGGATCCCAAGTTCAAGCTAAACTAGAAAACTCAGCAAGACCCTGCCCCAAAACTAAATAAATAAATAAGGATTGAAGCTGTAACTCAGTGGTAAAGCACTCCTGGGTTCAGTTCCTAGTAGAGAAGAGAACAGGAAGAAAAGCCTGAGACACACAGCAGGGACGAGATCTTTGGCTCCTGGTGATGTGAGCACCACGCTGTCATGGTCTGGGGACCCCTGGGTTAAAGGCCTGGTCTCCAGGTGGCAGAACCTCTAAGGGGGCCTTGTGGGAGGTTCTTAGGCCTCGCTGGGGCCTCAGAAGGGAGTAAGGAGCACTCTTGGACTCGAGATGTTTTTTATTTTTCTTTGCAGTACTGAGGACTGAACTCAGGGCCTCACGTGGTGCAAGTACCCTACCATGGGGCTACACCCCAGCCCCCTCCAGTTCCCGAGAGAGGGTGGTTACACAAGGAGCAAACCCAGCCGGGCCCTGCCTCTGCTTCCTGACTCAGGATGTGACTGTCGACCCCACACGTTCACCACTGCTGTGCTGTGCAGTCTGGATTTTCAGCCTCTCAAACCAAAGGCTAAATAAACTTCTTTTCTTGGTGCAGCCCGCTGTTTCAGGATCTGTCTCATGATGGTGATGAAAGGCTGAGTACTACAACAACTTCTGTAAATCTGTGATGTTTAAGATAAGTCAAAACATTTTTAAGCCAGGTGTGCTGGCCTACACCTATAATCCCAAGACTCAAGAAGCTGAGGCAGGAGGATTCCAAGTTCAGGACCAGCCTCAGCAACTTACAGAGACCCTGTCTCAAAATTTAAAAAAGACTGAGGATATAGCTCAGTGGTACAGTGTCCCAGACTCAACTGCCAGTACCTACCGCCCCCGCCCCCCCAAAAAAATTAAAGGAGGAAATAAAATATACAAGTTGAGCCCATCAATGCATTCAGTATCAAGGAGATTTTTCTTTCCTTCTTTTTGCTTGAGGAGATGACATACGCAAAATTTTTTAATTTAGACAAGCCAAAGGCAGACTTCAGGCTTATAATCTTCCTTATTATTATTATTATTTTTTTTAGTTTTAGATGGACACAATACCCTTATTTTATGTATTTATTCTTTTTTTAATATTTATTTTTTAGTATTAGGTGGACACAATATCTTAATTTTTTTAAATGTGGTGCTGAGGATCGAACCCAGTGCCGCACACGTGCTAGTAGGCAAGTGCTCCACCACTGAGCCAGCCCAGCTCTCAGGTTGATAATATTTTGGTAACCATCTACTAAAATAAACCCCCCCCAAAACCCAAGACTTGTCCATAAAGACCCTTCAGCTCTGGGGAACTTGTTCCTCATGTGCAGACTGTGACCTTGGGACACTGGCTTGTACCTGTGCAAATGGTGCCTCTGAGGTGGCAGCACCTCTGGGATGAGGAGGCACAGCAGGTGGCCCCACTTTCCCACTTCAGAACACCAGAGGGAACTGGTAGGAAGCGCTCTAGGGTCAAGGTGTGGGACAGACTGGACCCAGAGAGCACGTGCACACAGGGTGCGAGAGCAGGGGCCTGGAGTGGAAGTGGCAGCACCACCAAAGACCTGCCGTCGGTTGAGTACCCACGCGGTAATGTCCATGGCGCTCTCCTCAGCATTAAGTCTCAGAGACGAGGGTGGCGCAAAGGGAAACTGAGTGGGACGGGGGATGGCTCTGAACCCCTCTCCAGAAAAGTCTGTCAGCTGTCCAGTGACTGCACTGATGCCTGCAAATGTCCAGCCCCTTTCTCTCAGGCTGGCTCAGCTGACGTGTCCTCCCCTCCAGGGAGAAGAGGGCAATGAGAAATCGGGGCCAGTCAACAGGCGCTCCTGGAGCTGAGCCCCCCTCCCACCCCGCTGTTGAGGCAAGGAGCCCCAGCGTCTTGCTGGGCTCCTGGCAGGGCTATGAGGAGCGAGGCCTGGTACCCATTTTTTTCCTGTCAGGACATGAAGCGCAGAGTCAGCCTGAAAGGAGCTGCCTAACCTGAAGTTCAAGGCTGCCCAACCCGAAGTTCAAGGCCTTCCACCACACTTGAAGGCAAATGGCTCCCCTAAGCCCTAGTTCACGCAGAATTTGCCCCTGGACCTATTCCACTCCCTCTCAGGCTGCTCTGCTAAGGATTTTAGAACTACAGGAGGTTTCACAGGGTGGACAAACTTTAAACTTTTCAATAATTAAGTTTATAGGCCCTATGACTGAGTTCATCTTTCAACCTAAAGTTTACATATGATACTCATTAAATATTAAAACCACCCTCCTTCAAATGCACTGCATATTTGATTCACAGCCATGTTCCCATGTCCCGCTAACAGTCACTCTGATGGCTTCCTTCTGATCAGTTCCAGTTTTCAAGCAGCATTTTGCTGATGCACTGGGTAATCATCAGGAATCTGAGGCATGTTCAGGGAACACCGTGAAGTCAGTGCTGTGAACAGCATGTCATTACAGCTCCATACACACTTGGGGTGCGTAGCCAGACTAGCACCCCTTCCCAACTGTGCGTAAATCCAAAAGAAAGGACCTGTCAAAGAACTGGCTTTGTTCCTGATGGCTGCCCGAACAGGCCCACCAGAGCTTAGGCACCTATAGTCTGGGCAGCTTCAGACCCTGGGATCTCACCTGGGATTCACCCTTCATAGGCTGCTCAGCAGGAAGTGAGCTTTAAGCTTCCTCCAGAGCTCCTCAGAGATCAGCTGGAGGCAAGAGCCCAGCAGTTCCTAGCAATGCCCCAGGCTCCTCTGAAAGGGCTGGAGCTAGCCGGCAGGCTCTGCCTCAGCACGGCCTCCTCCACCAGGGTGGGCAAATCCTGGAAATCCAAGGTGCTCCATTGTCAGCCCTTCCTGCCACCTCTGCCAAAGTGTGAATGCGAATTTCACTCCTGTTGACTTGGACCTGAGATGTTTCAGCAGGCCATGAAAGTAAATGTCCACTGCATCTCGTTCAAGACAAGGACAGGGCTTGAATAGGAATCATGGGCTTGACAGTGGCATCTCACAGAGGTGACTGAGGAATAGACACAAATAAGCAGGACTAGGAAGGATTTCGGCAGGGGGTGGTGAAGGAACATCAGTCTTTAATTGTGCTGTCAACAGAGGGACAGCATGGGAAGAACCACCACCAAATCCGGGGTACCTGGAAGTTTCTCAGACTGACAGGACTCGAGAAACAGGGATGGCTCCACCTGACATTGGCCCTTTCAATAGTCTACCTCAACAGTCCCAGAGTGCTCAGCTCTGGCGCCCACCTGGCTGCCTGGAGAGCTCAGAACACCATGTCAGAGTAAACTCAAGTCAGGGTGGTAGAAGCAGATGAAATCCTGTGGGGCCCTAGAGAAGAACCTTTTACACTCAGTGTTTTCTAAAGATTACCTGGCTTGAAAGTAAGAATGAAACTTAATAAATCCCTGCATGTCCCTCTTAACAACCTTAAATTTGCCTTTTAGAAAACCACAAAGGATGTACGAATATGTAACAACAAGTCCCACCATTATGTACAACTGTAATGCACCGATAAAAGAATGTGGGGAAAAAAGAGGAACCCAGAAAGGACCGCGTCAGGGCTCTGCTGAGGGCAGAGCACTCTTTAGAGCCTGTCCCCACTGCGAGGGCGGCACCTCCCAGTCTCACACCACCTGACACAGCCTCCTCAAGTGTGGCTCTCATCAAGGAGCCTCTGCAGAGGGCTGAGATGTCTCCAGTGCTCAGATGGCCCAAGAGAGAGCTTCTTCCAGGGAGGGTGAAGGACAGCTGGATGCCCTGGCAAGTCTGAGGAGATGCCCAGAGGTGGATGCTGCCTGGGTAAACGATGCCCTGTGCCCTACCTGGAACACAAGGACCCTATCTGGTGCAAACCAGCTTTTCCACAGAGGGGCTAGCCTCTCCTTCATAAATGTCAGATTCTGCAAATCGCGCATCCTACCTGTAGGTCTTTCCTTGTTCCCCACTGAACAGTGTCTTCAACCAACCCCGGCTAATGAGCTGTCAAACCAGATCATCTGTCTGAATCTGTTCCAAGGCAGCTGGTTAAACAAGAGAAAGACACCACTATCCTGTTAAGCTCACCCCTCAGTGACCATCCTGTGCATGTGGCTTGCCTGGAGAATGAACACCGATGAGAAGCAAGCTGCCGGCTCCAGAAAAATCACCTCCGGGTGGCCCTGATGCTCTGAGTCACTAAAATGTCACTTTGTGGGCTGGAGGCTCTTTCAAAGGGCCACTATCCTGGAGTCCGGCTGGCAGAAAGAAGAGAGACACCACCTCTTCCTGTGGGAGAAGGTCCCAAAATGCAAGTAAAGAAGCCCATTTCGAGTTGCACCAATAGCAGACTCCTTCTGTACCCAAACTGCAACGCTGGTGCCAAAGACACCTGCAAGGACGGAAGCAGACTGGCAAGAGGACGGGAAGCTGAGGCGCGTGAAAAAGAAGGTAAGAAGCAGACACACGTCCATATGGCACAAGGGAATGGGCGGGGCCAGCCAGGAGAATGCTAAACGATAAGGAGGGGTTCTAGCTCACCAGCTACAGGAACAGCAATTTCAGGTCTGGCACGGGCACAGGACAAGCAGACCAACGGGAGAGAACAGAGGATCATCGGGCCTAAACAGATAAGTAAATGGGATATTCCTACACGTACGAAATAGATGAATTTAATAAACGGCATGAGGATTACTCAAAATATGACATATACATATTAAATATGATGAGATGACCTTCATCAATCAGAATGACAGATGTTCTTACAAGTTTGATGGTATTCTACTGATGGGGTGAGGGGAAACAGGCACATTCAGGCACATTTGTAGGTTTTTGTGAGAGAACAAATTTGCATGATTTCTAATTAAGTTGGTTTGGCAATATCTACACGAATATTAAATGCAAATAACCTTTGCTCAGTTCTAACATCCTGTCTTGCATATGTTTACATTGTAAACAAAGAAGAATGTGCAGTGTATTTACAAACTGCAGGACATGAGCCACTGTTGGGACTATGAAATAAATGTAGTGAACTACAATCAGAGATTCTAAAGATTGCCACAGTGCAGAATGGAACATAAACATCAGACTGCAAGACACACAGGAGGTAAGCGAGGTTGGGGATGTCCTGCTACTCGCGGGGAACCCAGTGGTGAAGTGAAACGCTGCTCCTGCAGCAACCTCTTAACAGCATCGTTTACAATAACAAAGGACTGGAAGCAACCTAAAAGTTGTCCATCAGGTAACTGTTTTAATAACTGGTGGTCCACCCACTATCCAGGCCATGAAAAGAATGAAGCAGCCACCAAGGAACAACCTCCAAAATCCCTCATTAAGAGGCTAAAGGCAAGATGCCTAAAAAGGCATTTGTGAATCTTTTTTAGGGAAACATATGTGTCAACAAATTTTGAAGAAACTGGTAATAGTGGTTGCCTCTTGGCAGAACTAAATCAGGAGACAGAATTACTTCTCACTGCAATTAACTTTGTCCTATTGATTTTTTCAAACCATGTGCATACACTCCATGGGACAATGCACCTACTAGCAAGGGTTCCTCAACACAGCCAGGAACAGCTGGGTTCCATCAAGTACTCCCAAACTGAGTACTTGGGCAATAAAAGTCCTCCCCCTAACTCTCCCTTTTTTTTTTTAAATGCAAAAAATGCAGATTACATCAAGGCCTGTCAGAGGACTGAGGGGAGGTTTGAGGAAGATGTATTTCAAGGTGCTCCATTATACAGCCGGAAGATGTACACTCACTAAATGTCAATGCCTCCCTTCCCTTCGTGGATTTTAAAGGACTGTTATACAAAGACCACAAAATAACATGTGCCCACTCCTTTACAAAGCTGTAAATCAGGTTTGGAAATCTATTGAGTATAATGTGGATTCATTTCTGTTTAAAAATTGTTATGTAAACACACACACACACACACACACACAAAACCCATGTGTGATTTTATCCACAGAAAGGGTGGCCCCGTGCTTGACTGACTTGAGGTGCTATTAAACAGCAAGGGCATATAAATCTCAAGACGGATCCTCAACAGATCTCTCATAAGACGAATGGAGTTACCCCTGCTGTTTACCTGAATGACTCTTAAAATAGCTTGACTGAGCTTTGTTGCAAGAATTTACTTGCCAATGGCAGGACCTCGAGGTTCTCCTGGCCAGGCCTAAGTACCACCCTAGCCCCAAGGTACCACCCTTGTCCACCAGCTCCCCCGCTGGCCCCTGGCCTGGGTCCCCACCTTGCCATCAGAAGCAGTGTTAATCCTGTAGTGGTACACTCTCCCTTCATATCGCAGCGAGATGGACCTCTGGCCAGGACTGCTCTCACTTTCCCGCACCAAGAAGCTGCCGTTGATCCCGCTGCTCAGCAGATACTCGGCAGCATTGCGGGACACAGGTCCGTGGTACCAGGAGTGTTTTTCCAGACTGTTGACGGGTGTGATGTAGTTGCTTGGGACCCATCCTTGGCCATTTTTGGTTTGGGCTTCACACCATTCCCCATTATGATTGTAGCCTAAGACCCGGAGCTTTTCACCTTAGAGAAAAAGAACCAAATTAAACATTTCAGCTTTAGAGACCAGCTTTCTTAGGGGCTGGGGATATAGATAGCTCAGTTGGTAGGTGCTTGCCTTGTATGCATAAGGCCCTGGGTTCAATCCCCAGCATTAAAAAAAAAAAAAGACCAGCTTCCTTCTTTCCTATTTATTGTATGCTTACTATAATTCTCCAAATTTCTACACACTGATTTTATTTTAACAAGTCTACATAAATTGTGCATGTGTAAGTGTATAAGAATATACGCTCATACCTGAGAACCTCCTGTTTGTAATGAATACATAGATAAGCGTGCAGCCTCAGTTTTTATAAATCTACTGTGTCTACTCGGGTGCTCTGCTCCCACTGTAAGGAAGCTTTTTGTGGAAGAATGTTTTTCCTTAGGGGAAAAAAAAAGTAATGTTTTCAGTTTTTAAGGTCCAGGTGTCCTCTGTATATGAAAGCAGGGAGGCTGGCTTGTGAGGACCAGGCTATCCTGGGGCGGCTGCTGTTCTGGGGTGTCTCTGCATTCCCAGCTGTGAAGCTGCTGTCTTACTAAGCAAAGGAGTGGTCAGTCATGCTGTCCCTGTCTGTCTCCTGCAACCACAGCCAGGCATCCAGGGCCCTTTACCTTTAGTGATGCTGAGGGTGTTATCTCCACTGGCCACAAAGTCGTACAGTGCAACAAACAGGTTGGGGTCATTTTCACTAGGTCCAGCAAGGAGATTTTCCTTGGAGTTCCAACGAGCGGCTTCACTTAGACCTTGGGGCTCGAAGTCAGATGCTACTGGCCTCTGCAGGGCTTCTGGAAGACAAGGCAGGGAACAGAAAAATCAAACAGGAACAGGAAGAACCGCAGAAGCATGAGCTTTATTTTCAGGAACAAAAAGTCTGTTTCCAACACTGTATCTTCCTAATTTATGTCATATTAAGGATTTTTTTAAAATAAAAGGACTATTTTACCAAATTTTCTGAATAACAGAAGTATTTTCATTCCAAGGTGGTAATTAATATTTTCAAATGGTTTAGGCTTTTTAAATCCCTTGTTTCAACATGAATTTAGTCAGAAATAAATAAAATTCATCTTCATAACTCTTTGCCATTGCTTAAAATATGGAATTCAAGTTTCTTGCTTTAAAACATTTTCAAGGGGGCTGGAGTTGTGGCTCAGCGGTAGAGCGCTCACCTAGCAAGTATGAGGTCCTGGGTTCGATCCTCAGCACCACATAAAAATAAATGAAACCAAGGTATTGTGTCCAACTACAGCTAAAATATAAATATTAAAAAAACATTTTCAAGTCTACTAACATTAATATGGATACAATTTAAAAATCAAGTAGTATAGAAGAGCTTAAAATGAAAGACAGACACCTGCTACTCCAGTCCCTTCACCCGCAGGTGACAGCTGTGTCATGGTGTGGAGGTGAGGTATCTCCCCAAAACTCATGGAGTCAACACAAGAAGGTTCGGGGGAGACACGCTGGGCTGTGAGTCTTACCCCATCAGTGAATGGACCCCACAGGGGCTGACTGAGTGCTCTCTGAGTGCCAGGGGGTGGCTGCAGGGCCGGGGCTGGGGTGTGGCCCGGGGTCTGCCTCTGTATCTGGCCAGTGGAGCCTCTGCTTGCTGACCACCCTGTGAGCTGCTTCCCTCTGCCACACTCTCCCACCATGTCGTCCCCTCACCTGGAGCCGGCTGTATGTGGTCTGAGACCTGAAACCCTGAGCCTGCAAATGAACTTTCCTCCTCTACGTCATTCTGGTCGGACCCTTTAGTTGCTGAGACAAAGGTGCTGACTGAAACAAGCTGTCTGGGGATGGCCTCTCCTGCCAGCTGTGACCTCTGGGCCCACTGAGGCAGCTCTCCCAAAGCTCACATCCCAAGAGGAGGGCGGAACGTCCCACCTTCCTGCCGCTTTCTTCCCCTCCGCCCACTTTCAAATGTGGTGGTCCTGACTTTTTTTCCTTGTGAAAACCACTGAGTTCTTCTATTCTGGAATAATAAAGCCTTCCATGATTTGCCTTTAAGTAGACTCCACAAGTTGAAAATCAATCAACAACTCTTATGTTAGGCCTGTGTGAGCCTTGCCACTACCAGCCTCAGAGTTCACTCATTTTTCCTGAAGTTCCTTCCTTTTTTACTGTTGAACGGTGCCCAAACTCTAGAATTTCTTTGTAATAATGACAAAATGCAGAAGGTTTTTCCAAACCAGCAAGTCTGTCCAAGTGGATCTTCACAGCTGGGGGACACTCTGAAGTGAAATCCAAACACCGTTTAAAGAGAAACCACAAGAAGAAACCAAACCTGATACAAAAACAAACAAAAAAAACGGCAGGGGGAGAGGTTCTGACTGGAAAAGAATAAAAATATCTACAAATAAGCCCCCACACACTGGTAACAAAACAAAATTATGTTTTATTTATCCCTTTTATGGATTTGGTGTATCTTACACATCACTTCTGGGCGATTATACCCATCTTAGAGACAGGCCTGACTCTGCATCCACTTCAAAAAACAGTGGAGGGGACTGGGGTTGTGGCTCAGTAGTACAGCACTTGCCTACATGAGTGAGGCACTGGGTTCAATTCTTAACACCACATATAAATAAAAAATAAAGGTCCATCAATACCCCCCCCCAAAAAAAATCAACAAACAAACAAAAACCATCACTGGAGCTGCGTGCGGTGGCACATGCCTGTAATCCCAGTGGCTCAGGAGGCTGAGGCACTGAGCAACTCAGTGAGACCCTGTCTCTAAATAAAATACAAAATAGGGCTGGGATTGGTTCAGTGCCCCTGGGGTCAATCCCCAGTACTCAAAAAAAAAAAAAAAAAAAAAAAACACCAACCCACTGGATACATTTAGAAACACCTGAGGACCAGTGGAACTTTGAGAAATAATCCTGGAGAGCTTCAACAACAGACATTCCATAATAATCAGGGTCTTTCAATTCTAGCTTTTGTATGAGTAATGAAGTGACTCTTCAGAACTGTGTATCTAACAGAGTAAATCCCAAATTGTATTCACTGCGTTTGGCAAATTCATTTTATCAACGGTGAGGGCAAACACAGTTTTAAAGAAAAGGATCTTGCTACACGGCATCTCCTAAAATGTAGAAAGGCCCATCCTGGTAACTGCTGGGCTCTAAGGTACCCTCCGCTCCATGGCAGTAGGACTGGACAGTTTACACACACACACACTCACAAACACACACACACACACTCACAAACACATACATACAGACAAGCTGCTTATAGCAGGAATATATGTATTTTGCTTTTAAATTCATTTTTTTGACAATAGAAACATACAGACTGTACCTACTAGTGAGGTACATGTAATGTTCAAAGCAGGGAGGCAATTTGTCTTATCAGCACATGTGATCCCACCCACCCACCCACCGCAAGCTGGTGTGCCAGCCCTGGCTATCCTTCTGAGGGTGGGGATGTGACTGGGCTGTCTTCTCTAAGTCCTACCTAGGATGCTCAACTCACCTCCAGCTTCTATGGCCTGCAGGTGGAGGGAGACCCAGTGCAGGATCATTCCATTGGCTTATGGCAGCCTCACGCCTAATTCAGTAGCATTTTTAAAAAGTAATCTGCCTTCACTGAGTCTTCCTGAAGCACCCATCTTAATTTTCAGAGAAACAATTCTCTTTTCACACTTACATTTGCTGGTTTCACAATAACTGAGTAATCAGGACAAGTACTGTATATGGAGATAGATAAACAGATCCAGAGCAAACACAATGGCTCTGCTGCAGAGTGCCAGGGTCCAGGAAGGCTCACCTCCAGCAGGAAGAGGAGCATGCTTGCCAGCTCAGCACGACAGGTAAGCAGCGGGCAGCCGGTCAAAAGGACCCTTACCCCTTACCTACCAAAGGAAAAAAAGAATTCCCTCCACTATGGAAAAAGGATGTAAACCATAAATTCACAGAGAATTAAAATCACCACTGAACATGGAAAGTATGTGAACCCTTGCTAGTAATCAAAGAAAAGTAAATAATTCCTCAACTGGGCCGATGCACTTTCTGACAGTTACAGTGGGGATGAGACAGCAATGACCTGCACTTTCTCACAATGCTCAGAGTAGGTGTGTAAGCTGCTGTTATGTTGTAGGAGGCAAGTGGAACATGAACCACACTAAAGAATCCATAATCTTTAATTTACTTCTAGAAATTTAGCCTAAGCAATTAATACATTGATTTCTATATACTAATTTAAAATAACTCAGAAAAGCACAAAAAAGTCTATCAATACAAGATAATTTCTTCTCTACCCCTAAAATAGAATATTTAAGTAGCCATTTAAAATATTGTTGGAAGGGGCTGACGGTGTAGTGTAGCTCGGTGGTAGAGCACTTGCTTAGCTTGAGTGAAAGTCTGGGTTCAATCCCTAAAGAAAAAAAAATATTTTTGGGGAAAAAAATTCAATGTTCAGGAATATACTCATAATAACAAATTAAGGGTTTATATTACATCCCAGTACATACAATATGATCCCAATTTTCAAAAATTGAAAAAAGACCAGAAGAAACTTATACCAAAATGTGAACGATTTTTAACTTAAGGTGGTGGAATTACAGGTGTTTTTAATATTCTTAACACTTTTCTATGTTATGGCTTATTTCTTACAGTGAAGGTGGATTATTTTAATGATCAGAATACAATTACAAAGCTTAAAAACTTACAAGTGAAGCCAACCAATACTTACATAACTGATAATTTACTGTGAAGCCTACTGTGGGGGGTGGGGGATCCCAGGTTGTCCTGGAAAAATACTGTGCGTTCCCTCTGTCTCCACCTCTGGGCCAGGAGCATACAACTTAGGCAGACTAGGCCCACACAGGAAATTAAACCCGAGTCATGGATACAGCAATGCTTTTCTTCTCAAATGCCATTTGACCCCTTCTATCAAACATTCTGTAGCATCTGGATTAGATCAAAGTTATATAATCAGGGGAAGTGGCCTGGAAAACACCTGGAGTAAGCAGAATGCAAATGCCCGCCCAGAGGGGGCCCTGAATTTGACGTGTGGGTTAAAGAGGGGCTGTCCCTAGTGCAGACAGATGCTGAGCATTCTATGCTGGGATGAGGCCCTTGCTAGAAAGGAGAGGGCCTCCCACTGCTCTGATTCAACAGGACGCTGGGCCATCCAGGGCAGGCCCTCCGTTTCCCTCCCAGCTCTATTCCACAAATTAATGGCCACAGCCCCAGGGGAAGTATTGCTCATGCATGCCTCTGGGTCAGATGTTGAAGTGAAGCCACAGTCCAACACCAAGTCTTCCAGTCAATTCCCAGTCCAGGCTGATGTCAAGCTGACTCACAATGCACGAGTGCCAAGTGACTTGCTTCATTTCATAGTGAGCTATGTTCGTCAACCTTAAAAATGATCATGGCTTACGGGGCCAAAGGCAGAATGTGCTCAAATCTTTTTTGCTTGGGACACGAACTTTCTGCCAGTCTCACTGTCAGGAAGTCAAGACCCCAAAAGAAGCCCAAAAGCTTCCTTCAAAAGAAGGTGCCAGAGCAGCTCCCCTTCTGTTCTCCTAGAGGATCTTCCAGCTGTTAGGAAGTCTTGAGAAATGAACTTCAGCATCTGCTAGCATTCTGCATTGTTTTCCTTTTTCAGTGAACGCTTTCCGCTGCATCCTTTCCGAGTCATATCTTAAATATACTTAAGATCTGGATCTTTAAAAATGCCTCCCACCACATTTAAAACTGTTTTGTTGTTCTGCCATAATGCTAGCAAAAAGGTTTCCACATCCACCAACAAAACTCAGGGAAGGCCATCAACTAGCTAGCTG